GTGTCCAGCTCAATGATTTGGGTCAAATCCGGCTACTAAGCGGGGGCGGGCGGTGCGAGGGGGGGCTCTACCAAAGCAATGCTTCAGCATTATTCTGATGATGAAATAAAACATCTGCTATGCAATAAAATAGCACCCATCGCACTGACTGATGGGGCTTAGTTGCTGGATTTGACCCAAATCATTGAGCTGCACACAGCCTTGATCTGAGGCTGACCGCAGTCATCACATGTGTCTGTATGTCTGATAACAGGGAGCCATTGGGAAACATGGGGACAAAGATAAAGAATAATCACAATACTTGAGGCCTTTTACTTGAAGAGCTATGGTTTTATATTCTGTATTTAGCAGTGACGCTGTGAGCTACAGTATATTCATTTATTTCATTAACTTCCATTACTGCCCTGTACATTCAGATGAATAAAGCTAACACAGGGTCAGGACACTAGACCTGTCAGTGATGACGCAAAACGCTGACGAGCGACGATTTGTCTGAAATCAAACACCCAAACTGCTCAATATAAAGTGAACTAGTGGTCGTCTATCCTGAAGTAGTGAATGAATGTTTTCTGACATGCCTGTAACGAAGGCATTTCGTCTTTGCAGTTCATGGAAAACTGCTTTTGTAACCAACATCACTGATTGAGAGGTGACCAGAGACAGCAGCGCAGCAACCGTTTTCTTCCTTATTCAGTAAAGTTATTCAACCAGCACCTTCAACTGATCTTTTTCCATGGTTGTTAATTTAAATGATCTTTTTCTATAAAATGCTATGCTATGACCTATATCCCTAAAACGGGTATGAAACCCGAGGCTACGCACTTCATAAACCACTGTGAACTGGACTCTTAATTGGTTGAAACGGGTTATGTAAAACCTCTCTTCCTTCCACTTAGGAAAGCCTTTCTCTCCCACAGGCGGGCTAACGCGGTCATGGACATGGGGTGGGCGACTGGACACATCAAGTGCCTGAGGAGTCTGACACTTCTCGATGGATGAGTCACACAGCCAGACACACACACACACACACACACACTCGCACAGTACTCTGCTGGTAGCTGGCTGTCACGCCACAAAACAGCAGGGTAGATATGAACCCTCTCAATTTAAGGGAGTATGACTCTTTTTGGCTGAGCATGTGGGTCCACAGCAGACCACTTAGATGGATGGAAAATGGGCTGTAATGGGTTTTCCTTGTCCTGTATGCTTTTCATCCATCTGCACAGCCAGATGTTCGGTGCCTGCACCACCCATAAAGTAGGTAACAGGACACTGTGATGACTAGTTTAGGTTATGCTGGACAATATGCCAATATGGATCAGAGCTAAAGTTTTTATGATTACCGTGCAATACTTTGTCTACAAAATGATAAATAGATATGATTCGGTATGATTGCCTTGTGACACTTACTTTATAAC